GAAGAATGTATTGGTAAACTCCAGGAAAACAAAGAGGAGACATCATTCGTCATCTCCTCAGGTGCATTAGGACAACACCTGGTACCAGAAATTCATGGCATGCCAAAATTAGATGCCATATACATCTTTTGTGGCAACAAACAACGTCACCAAGAATGGGCTAAAAATTGGCCCAAAATTAAAGGTGTGCATACATCAATCAAGCACATCTGTGAAAAACTGGCACTGGCTGTCAAACAATGCAATCAAGATCAAGTAACAGTCAGTATTATCAGTGTCAATGAAGGAGGTTCTAGCGAAAATCTCAATCAGCTAGAACCATCTTTCATGTATACTCAAATATTCAAGGAAATACTCCTTGACATGGAACATGACCAAAAAGCCATTAAAGACTTGGTCACTTATTGCCAAGAACAATACCAAGGAAATACCAAAGAACTCAAATTAATTAATGAATTTCAACGTACTTATCATCCAACGTTGGCGTTATTGTGGTATACACGCCAATGCTTCACCTTCAAAATGCTCAATCGAGCATTACGAACACTCGACGGTGACATTATCATCCGAATGGGATTTTTTCTGTGTGATATTCATCGGCAAATTGAAGAATTACACAACCAACAGGTCAGTCAATATCATGGGAAGTCCTTTTTAGTTTATAGGGGCCAAGGATTATTGACAAGTGACTTCGAAAAGCTTGCAAAAAACAAAGGTGGTCTAATATCTTTCAACAACTTTTTATCCACCAGTACAAAACGAGATGTTTCCCTCGGTTTCACCAAAGATGCATTAGGAGCAACCGATATGGTCGGCATCCTCTTTCAAATGACAGTAGATCCTACTGTCTCATCGACTCCTTTCGCCTCCATCGAGGAAGTGAGTTATTACAAGGACGAAGAGGAAATTCTCTTCTCCATGCACACCGTTTTTCGAATTGATGAAGTTCGAAAACTGGACAAGAAAAGTCCCCTTTATCAAGTGGACCTCAAACTTACGTCAGATGATGACCAACAACTGCGTCAATTAACCGACCGTATACGACAAGAAGTCGACGGCACTGGATGGTATCGACTGGGTAAATTGTTGCTCAAAATAAGTCAATTTGACAAGGCCGAAGAATTATACACAGCACTACTCGAACAGACATCCAACGACACTGCTACAGCACGTATCTATAATATGCTTGGAGAGGTGAAATACGAACAAGGACAATACAAAGAAGCAGGATCATTCTACAAAACAGCTCTTGAAACGTATCGAAAAACTCTACCGAAAGATGATCCAACGTTGGCTGAAATTTACCAAAATATTGGTGCAGCGCATTACTCCATGGGTAACTATTCGAAAGCACTTGAATATTTCAAGACAGCACTTATGATAAGAGAAAAGGCCCTGTCGTTGAATCATCCCGACTTGGCTAAATCCTATTCCTGGATCGGCTTAGTCTACAACCAAATGGGTGACTACTCGAAAGCACTTGAATTTTACGAAAAATCACATAAAATCCTCGAAAAAGCTCTGCCTTCGAATCACCCTGATTTGGCTAGTTCCTACAACAACATCGGTCAAGTGTATAACAGCATGGGTGACTACTCGAAAGCACTTGAATTTTACGAAAAATCACATAAAATCTTCGAAAAAGCTCTGCCTCCGAATCATCCCGACTTGGCTCAATCCTACAACAACATCGGTGCAGTGTATAACAACATGGGTGACTACTCGAAAGCACTTGAATTTTACGAAAAAGATCTCGAAATCACGAAAAAAGCTCTGCCTCCGAATCATCCCGATTTGGCTATTTCCTACAACAACATCGGTCAAGTGTATAACAGCATGGGTGACTACTCGAAAGCACTTGAATTTTACGAAAAAGCACATAAAATAAAAGAAAAAGCTCTGCCTCCGAATCATCCCGATTTGGCTATTTCCTACAACAACATCGGTCAAGTGTATAACAACATGGGTGACTACTCGAAAGCACTTGAATTTTACGAAAAATCACTTAAAATAAGAGAAAAAGCTCTGCCTCCGAATCATCCCTCATTGGCTACTTCCTACAACAACATTGGTATGGCGTATTCCGGCAAAGGAGACTATTCAAAAGCACTCTCATTCTTAGAAAAGGCACTTTCTATCTTCCAAAAATCACTTCCACCTAATCATCCTAATATTAAAACAGTTACAAACTCAATTGACAATGTAAAAAAGAAAATGTAACTGTAATTTTTTCTTTTCGCTTGCTCAATAAATTTATTCACATTGCTAATCGTTTCGATTTTTCTCGGTTCATTTTGGCTTATCCGCGCGCGCGCGACAAGGGAGAGAACCCTTGTCAATGCCATAGGTACCACAGGCGGACCACGCCGGACTGGTAGGGCAATGGCCGAAGGTGTGCCGTATGAACGGTAGGGACCAACGACACATAGAGGCCTTCCCTAGCACTACACTGCTTCGCTATGGCAAAATTCCTCTACCTATTGAATCAGACAACGTAGCTATCTGATCCACATTGATGACTCAACTCATCTCATCTCAAAAGTACTCACACTCATACTCATAATAACTGATAGTATTTACTTTTTCTCAAAATAACTTATCTCAACTCAACTCAACTGAATATGTAAAAAATTTTTTTTTTCTTACTTCTTAATATTGTATAGTATCGAAACTCATCTGAGAAAAAAGAAAAAAAAAAGTTTTATTAAATATATAATGAATTTATTATTTACCTCATATAGAATTTAATAATATAATTATCATTGTAAATAATATCATAATAATAATAATAAACCCGGGTATATAAATACATTGTAATCCATTATAATAATACAACTCGAGTGTATACTGTTTCATAATGATGTATACATGTTTTTATATACCCTGAGATTAATTGACCGATGTTCAAAATTTTGATTGATTTTTTATCAATCATTCCACTTCTGTTTTAATTGATTTGATGATTTTTTTTCTCGTCTGACATACATCTATATCATGTCATCGTCGACGAAAAAAAATTTCCATGTTACATATGTATAGAGGGTGTTGTCTTTCTCTTTCACATTGCTCGTCTTCAAATAAGAATACAAGACAAGAGAATTCATCAACTCGAGTAACTTAAAAAATAGGTGTTTTATTTTTACAAAATGTGATCTTTATTTTAAGAATGTCTGAAATATATATACATGTCTAAATTATATAGAATAAGATAGTGTCTGTCTCTCCACTGAACAATATATTTTTTATTGGACATCTTCATTATCTTCAATATATATGTATTTGAGAAATTTTTTGAGAAATTTTTGCGTGAACTTTTTTCACGTATAGTTTTTTGACTTTTCTTTAAAGAAATGTTAGTTGTGCAAAAATTGAAATTTCTACACATTTAAGATTGATGAATTTCTTTCATTTCAAATTATTTTCATTGGAATATAGTGCTTCTCAGAATTTACCTAATTTTCGCCCAAAATGTATCAACTTGTACATAACAAACTATGAATGATGTGTATTCACTTATATTGTCATATTCATCGATATAGTAATGAATATATAAACAGCTATGAATTCATCTCAAAATAGTCTCCTGATGATAGAGTATATCATATTTGTACTCTTTAAATTTTCAAGATTTATCGATGAAAACAAAATTCATCGTTATAAACATTTTGAACAAACAACTGTAATGTAAAAGTAATATTATTTCTAGATTTTTATACGAAACTGTATATCAGACAAAGTTTCAATATAGAGAGGCATTTTTCGTTTAGATTTAATGAACGTTATTGCCTTTATATGTTCCACTTTCTTAATTGAATTATTAATGAGTATTTTGACATTGTAGAAATGAAAGTGGTAACTGTTTTTAGTTACCTGACAAAGTACTCTCTATGAAGTAATGTCATTTAATTAGAATGAAATGAAGTATTTTCTAAGAGAGACAATAATGATAGCAGTAGAGCATTTAATGAATGTCTTCATGTATTTCTCATTATATTTCTCTAGTATAAAAATTATTCGACATATACAACAATTTCATTTTGTTTTCAGTGTAGATATTAAAGTTTTTATAAAAATTCGATGTTGGTTTTTTATTAGAAAATGATTAAACTATAGTTGCTTGAGAAATTGTATATTTTGTTTTTATTCAGATCTCTCATCATACAGTTGTTGGTGTATTCTGTATTTCGATTATAGGTGTAGAGTGAGGTGTTACACTAAAAAAAAGAAGAAAACATGCTGAATAACTTATTGGAATATTTTCTCGTTAAGAATAAATTCATATTCTGACGAATATTCGTTTTCTATGATTTTCTAAAGATAATTGATATTTTTATCGCGTATTTGTGAGATATAGAGTTTTATTCTGAGTTCATTGAAAAATATCTCAGAATTTTCATAAATAAAATTATGTATAGATTAATTATTTGAGTCTATAAATGAAATCTCAGTAGTAATAATAAATAAATTAATGAATCGCATATTTTTTTTTCTCATTAGACATATATACATGGTTTTTTGTTATGCTTAAAAGTATAAGTGAATCTATGAGACATAGAAGAGATTTAAAGAAAATTGCAAACCACTTTCGAGTAAATGATATCGTCCTTATAATTTTTATGAGAAATTTCTACTAATAAAAAGACTTTTAATAAAAGATTTTTTGTAAAGTTAAACAACGAGTTTTTTGGTAAAATTCACAAATAGACGAATTCTTTATCAGTATTTCAATGAATGTTGTTTTAATATTAATCTCTTTATATATCTTGTTGAGTCTGACATTACACTGTTGTTCTTCAACATAAATATAGACAATTTATTAGTAACAAAAATATCAATTTGAATAAAAGATTCTAGTTGTTTTGCTTTTTACTTATGAAATAGGAACAATGTTTGACCTTTTTACTGTTAGAAAAGAATAATTGAGAAAGTTCGTTTACAGGAAAAAATACATTTCGATTAGAGATTTAAAACTTGTAATTTTTGTATAATTATGACCTGATAAATACTGTTGAAAGTTGTGCGTGTAAATTTTTTTTCGAGAATGAATCGAATGAATCATTTATTGCTTTTGCTCGAAAGCAATCTTTTTACTTTTCTTCTTTATCTATATTTTGTTTTATTTAATATTTAATTGTAATACAGAAGATAACAGAGGAGTGTGAATCTGATGAGCTCTTCTTTTTAGCTCATACCTAAATGTTTTAAGGATTTAGTAGGTGCGTTCATTGAATATTAAAAGATTTATCTCATTGCATTAGTTTTCTTTATTAGAATTTTTTTTCTTTTACTTTTCTACTAATATTTTTGTTTATCAAAGAGAATTTTGATAAAAATTAATAGACGAATCAATTGGATACATTAAATATGTATCAATTAATACTATACAGTTTTTACCATTTATATAAGCCGAATCAATAGTAAAAAAAATAGAGTTGATGATTACGAAGATGATATAAAAATTCAATTATGTATTATAGAAAGTTTTTATGGAAGAGTAATTTTAATTTAGACATATATATGTACTGATCTGTCATAAACTTCTCTTTTTGTATAGCTTATATTGTACACATTTTTCTCTGACGAAAATCACACAACTCATTTAATAATAAAATTCAATACTGTTATTTTTGTTTTTTTTTCTACTGCATAACAATTATATTTTGATTTACGTAATCTAACATATGAACACAAATGATGTTGTTGAACATTGAAATCAAGTTCAACATGCTCTTGAAATAAGTGTTTACAGAGATTATTGATATTGAAGTGAGGAACGTATTTATACGTTCAATCTCACTCACTCATTATTCCTAAAAACACTCAAAGTTTCCATGGATCACATATTAATGTCATAAGTGTAGAGTTTTTGTGATATAAGTGCTAGAATAATGCATCAAAGGTATGAGATTCCTTCGAAACACTTCGAAAAAGACAAATTTCCAAATGATAAATCAATTATAAAAATAGCTAAGAATTCATTCGAAAGGTTTTTGTTCCATAAAAGTCCAAAATAAATATATTGATAACTGTTCTTATATGACATTGAAAATAATTCATCATTTTACATCATTGAAAAAACTATTTTTTGTTTCATCGAAATAGTTTCGTTATTGATCTGAATTAGATTTACTTCAATAAAAAATATAGTAATGTGTTGAAACTTTTTCAAATTCATATTACATATAGTTAGTTTCTGAAGAAATACTGATCAATTCCATCTTAATTTTCTACAATGAGAAAATATTTTTCGATTTTATCTTCTAATATTATTTATTGAAACATTTTCGAGTAGAACCAATAGGATATTCTAGATTGTTTTTTCTCTGTAATCGATTTAGACACGTTAAGTATATCAAATAGACTACAAAGTAAGACAGAATACAAGTAGTAATGAGTAATTTATGAGCTAAGGTGTAGATTATTGGTGTCTATGAAAACAGGCTCATCTACACGCACGTCTTCATTATTCTGTTGTCTTACTTTTTGGTTTGAAGGATATTGACATACTAAACTTGCATTATAATCTTTACTGAGTAGAGTTCAAGAACAAATGACAACATCAATGCAATTTTAATCATATAACTTTCAGCACCACTCAAAACTCCTTTACAAATATAACTCTAAAAACTCTATCTAGACGTGATATTCATTCTCTCTGAGTTTTGTTTCATTTTAAGTGCTTCACTCTTTGTTAAACTAGTCGTTATCTTTATTGTCAACGGAAAGCAAAATAAAAAGCAATTCATTACAAAAAAACTTAATAAATAATATCATGCTTTGCTTTCTTTTTATGATATCTAAGAGTTTCTCTTGTTCTCACCTTATATTACCATAAGCGTTTGTATACATAGAAACAGATCAATAGACATCATTGTTTGAAAATGTATGATGAATTTCTGTATTAGTAGGTTCATTTTTTAGTCAATTGAGAGTCTAATATCGTGCGAAGGCGATGAAAGCATAGATAAAATGTTACTATTGATGTTCTTCTACTGTTCTTGAGGTGTGGGTGTGGGTGTGGATGTAAGTGAAGAGAAGATAAACACCCACACTCTTATTTAATAGGACTTGAGGAACTATTGATACCCCCTATATAATAGAACTTGTGGACCTATGAGTATCCGCATAGAACACTTAAGGGGTCATAGATATCCAGCCTGTGATGCTCCTAAGGAATCCTGAAGATGGTATGTGTAACTTTTCATTGTTAGCTCTCATAT